TGTTGCTCAGTCACAACACACCATCTCCTGACTTTGAGTCTTTTTCAGTGGCTGTCCATCCATAGCTGGAATATTCTCCCACCTTTCCTTTGCTCTTTGGCTTCCTTCTAGACTGATCAAATCCCAACTTCTTCAGGAGAACTTTTGGGATTTTCTCTCAATCCCTTTCTCGCCATCCCTTTCAGATTACCTCCCATTTACACTGTGTGTGTGTGTGTATACACACACACATATATATATATATAATGTACATAGTTATTTAAATGTCTCTCCTATTAGAAGGTGAGCTCTTTGAAGGCAGAGTCTGTGTTTTTACCTTTTTTAGCCCTATTGCTTACCACAGTGTCTGGTGTATGGAAAGTGCTTAATAAATGTTTGCAGGCTAGTTGAAAGCAGCTTCAAAAGAGATAGAGGTCTAGAGGCAGTAATGCATACAATAAAATGTGGGTGATTGTAGAAACAAACTAGAAAAAGCAAAGTAATCTAAAAAGAAATTAGGATGGCACTTAAATAGAACAGTTAATAGTTCTGCCAACACCAAAGCCATTAATACAGTGTTGGCAGTATCTAAAATGGAGTGAGTGCTGACTAAATTAGAGCTTGTGGGCCAAATATAACATTCAAGGCACTCTGCAAGATTAATCCCCCATCTGCTGGGGATTAAAAGACAGGTAGTATATGGATAGTGCTTTCAAGTTGCTTACACTATAATAGAGAATAAAGAAATAAAAAGTGACTGAATCAAGGTAAGTAAGATAAATACAATGGTGAGGCCTAGGCAACAGATGATGAGAAATTTGAGGAAGGAGAGATTATTTTCCTTTGGGAGACGGAAGGTCAGGGAAGACTTTATGGAAAAGGTAATATTTCAGTTGGGAGTTCATCTCAGGTAAGGGAGCTGCTATGAGCAAAAAGAAGGAGACAAGAAAGGGCAGGATAAGAATAGGGAAAAGATAGTAGTCCAGTTTGGCTAGAATGTAGTTATGAAAGGGAAGAAGTATAAGATAAGGCTAAAAAGGTAGATTAAAGACAAACTGTGGAGGGCCTTAAAGGCCAGGATCAGGCTTTTATATTTTATTTGGTAAATAATGTGGAACTACTAAAGGTTTTTGATGAGAGGAGTGATCTGATCTGAACAATACTTTAAAATTATTTGGATAATGGTATGAATTTAAAAGGGCAGTTAAGTGGCACAATGGATAGAGTGTTGGTCCTAGAGTTAGGAATACTCCTCTCCTTCAGTTCAAATCTAGGTTCAGATACTTACTAGCTATGTGACCCTGGGCAAGTCAGTTAACTGTTTGCCTCAGTATCCTCTCTGTAAAATGAACTGGAGAAGGAAATTGTAAACTGCTCCAGTACCTTTGCCAAGAAAACCCCAAATGGGATCACAAAGAGTCAGACATGACTGAAATGACTGGATAATGAATTAAAGAGGATGGATTGCAGAGAGGAGAAAATTAGCATTTATCTGGTGCCTTCTACATGCCAGGCACTGTGCTAAGTGCTTTACAAATATTATCTTATTTGATTCTCACAGTTCTATCTAGGGAAAGGTTTTTTGGATTAGGCCACTTACCTGACTGGAGGCAGGAAAACTAGTTAAGAGGCAGTCACAGTCATCTAGGTAGGAAGAGATGAAGAGCTCAACAAGAAACATTAAATGCCTGGGAAGAAGCTGAGTTGGAAGTATATCTATTCTTGTGAGTAGAATTTGGGGGGAAAATGAAAAAAAAAAGGAATAAGCAGTAGGCTTTGGATTCACTGAGAAAATGAACAGATACTACACTGTTAAGATATTGGAGGCCTATGTGGTCCTCCTTGGGCCTAAATTAACCATTTATATGTATGAAGCTCAACACGGAAATTCTTTGATCAAACTGATGAGTTTACAGGGCAGTGGACCACCATTTGGGACCTCTGATTTGTCCTGTGGCGGGTATGGGCATGCTTCTTGGTACTGGAGAATGGGTATCAGTGGTTAAGGATAAACTCAGGCTGGCACAGGCTCCTGTGGGATGAATTATTTTTTTCCCCAAAACCCACTCCTCTTCAAGGGGACTACCATCCTACCATGTTAACCTTGGGGTTGTTCAAATTTAACTCTGTATCTGTGTCTGAGAGCTATATCTGGTTTGGAGAGAAATGAAGGCCCCAAAATAGAACTCTTGAAGAAAAGGAGAACTCACTTCGCAAGAAATACCACTGAATGAAAATACTCAGGCTACATTTCTTCTCTTATAGTGCTCTAGGTGGAATCATTTAGTACCAGATTCTCCTATAGCTGTGTCCATAGTTAGACCCATCCTTGGCAACTGGACCAGTCTCAACACAGCCCCTGCCCCAGCACCCATTCTAATTACCTACCTAATTAGTATCTAATTATCCACTAAGGGGGATAATCAAGTATTGGCCTTATCCTTAGGCATTGATCTTGTCAAGTCACTCTCCTATTCAAAAACTCTTTAAAGACTCAATCTTTTCCATCTATTAAATTCAGGTTCCTTTGACTGGCATTCAAAGCTCCTAGACTTATATTATGCTACTCCTTGCAATGAACTCTTCTTTGCAGCCAAAGTATATTATGTGGAACATATCATAATATGTTCTTTCCTGCCTCTCTGTCTCCATGTCTGCAGTATCATTGCTTACCCTTTTCACAAACTGAATTCCTACCCACTCTTCCCCAATTCTCCCTCTCTAGGGTCTTTTTTTATCCAACTTCACTTAACACCTTATTTTTCATCCATCTAATGCACATAACATTTATTATATGTGTACATAGATAAATATAATAAAAGTTTTACCTAAACTTTGCTTCTCCTCTAGTACTGTTCTTTGTATCAGGAGACACTTAAGAAGTGTTTGCAGAATTATTTGTGAAACATGCTGAAATGTGTGGCAATATGAATAAATAGTAGAATAATTTAAAATTCTGTTATCTTTAGTTTGTGGTAAAATGTAAAAGGTATATGTAACAGGATCTACTTAGTTTTTAAATTGTTTTCTTATACTTAGTGACATAAAATCAATATTGTTTTATGTCTGATTTATATTACTTTTTAGAGGAACAAAGATAAGAAACATTCAGTCTTCTATTATTACAGTTAATCATTTTTTTACTCTGCAATAACTAATTAGATGTCATAAAGGCAGTAATGAAAATTGAATATTATTTACAAGAATTTTAAAATATTTAAAGTGTTATAATGTGGATATCAAAAAATATTTAATGATTTTTTCAGGATGAAGGCTGCTTTACAATTATAAGTGTACCATCTGGGTAAAGAGGGGAGATTAAACAGGGCGGAAAAATCTCTTTCAGGAGAAGGGCATGCTTAAATCTGAAGGCCTCTCTGTGGTATCTTCCCACCTTACTAAATCCAGTTCATTACCTCCAAAAGCTAAAGGTATCTATTAAGTAAAATATAAAACTTTGATGGCACATAGCAATCACATATACAATTTGTTGACAATTCGAATTTACACGAAATAAAACAATAACTATGCCAAACCAAGTGACTTTAGATAGGTTTGTAGTTATACCAACTTGTCCTGGAAAAGTACAATACAATTGTTGACAGTCTTCCTTATCTAATTTCCCCCCAGTCTTCCTCCACTCACAGGAAAAACCAGACTAGGAACTGATGTACAGATCCACCCACACTTAGGAAGTTGAGCTGGACAGCTCAATCAGGGGCCTAAGAGTGGGTGTAAGGCACCAATGAATCCTAGTCCAGATAAAGTAATGAACCAGCAGTGCCCATTTTTCATGTATTGCTAAACTTGAACTTAGCTTGCTCCTTAACAAGAAAGATGCCACCCACAAAAGAAATGAGAAAAGGTAACTCTGTTGCTCTCCATCAGGCATTTCTTGATTGAATCAGCCAAATCCTCAACATTTAAACAGCATGCATGTATATATACACATATGTTTACATATTGCCACATATACATATATGTCTATCTATCTATCTTACTATCTACATATCATATGCTAGCTGGTCAGAATATCCAGTCTAAATACTATCAGTCAAAAATGGAGAATGCTCCCATCTCATTTCTCTGGCCAGGAATTCTTAATGGTGTGTGTGTGTGTGTGTGTGTGTGTGTGTGTGTGTGTGTGTGTGAGCATTGTGGACCCCTTTGGCAGTCTGGTGAAGCCTAAGAAGCCATCCTCAGGATTTTTTTTTTTTAATAAAGGAAATGCTAAATTTGAGTTGGAGGTCAGTGGAAATAAATGTCATTTATTTTCCCATTCAAGTTCACAGAGCCCTGGACTTCAGGTTTAGGAATTCCTGCTCTAGAATAAAGAAATGATCTTTCTAAAATGTGACCAGCGAAAGAAAATTACTTTCTTTTATCACCATAGGTGATAGAGTCCTAACCCACTCAAGCAACTCGAGTCTTCCCTGGGTGACCTGATGTTGGTTCTGTGAAGCCCAAGGAATCCCTAAGATCCCTTTTAATAGCAAGGAAATTAAGCCTCCCTGACTGATGACAACTGCAAAGGAGAGTTATGGGCTTGGGATTCCACACTCCTCGAAACTCCTTTTGGGGGTTCCTGTTTTGCCCTTGTCTCCCCTCATTCTCCTCTTCGTTTCCCCCTCTACGCAGTATTCGATCTCCATCCTCGACGACCTCCTCCTGAATTCCAGGTGCTGCGAGCAGAACTCTAGGCAACAGCACAGAAAGCTCGCGGCTCGCCCGCTGCACCTGGAAGAGTGAGTAGCTAACAAAACCCGCTCCGGAGGGGGTTCTGGGATCATGGGAGTGACAAACCACACCCCTTCTCCGGGCCAGCCCCAGCCTTTCAATTGGCTGATGTCGTTCCTTTCTCCCCCTCCTCCCCGGGACGGGAGCGCCAATTGTGAAACGGAGGTATGAAGGGAGCGAGGAGATCGCTCCTTCCCATTGGCCACCACCACTGTCACTCAGAACCCACAAGCCCTTCCTTGTTGTCTGGGACGTGCCTGTCTTTTGAATTTGGAACTGACTGAAGAGGACCTACGCTGTAGTCTGTGAAACCGGTGGTTTCCTAGCGTGGTTGCGGGAAGGTGTCTAGAGTACTCAGAAAATCCCTGGTCCCTTCCCTCCCCCCCCCATCTAATGAAAGCAAAGCAGCTTCAATTAAAGACTGCCCCAGGGAGGAGCGGGGAGGCTGAGGGGAAAAAAGCCAGGGGTAAAGACGGAAAAAAACTCTGCCTCCCGCGCCCGGCCCTCCCTTCGCTCGCAGCTTTCGGGGCTCGGGGATTCCTTCTGGCGTGGAGGGGCAGCGGGGTTTGCACGGGGAGATACGGGAGCGAACCAGGAACGTGGTCCCGGTGATTGTGTCCCAGTCGCCCGGGACTCTCCTCCTGCTTCTGCTGCAGCTGCACGACCGCCCGTACAGCCTCCTCCTCCTCCTCCCCTGGGACTTCTAGTTATTACCTCTTCCTCCTCCTCTAAGAAATCAGACTCCAGCTGCTTTCTCTGCTCTCTCTCCGTCTTTGCTATTTAATTAAGAAGAGTCCGCCCTGGCACTTGGCCCTATCCTATTGTTCGCTGCTGCCGCGGTTTGCTGGCTCCTCAGCTGCCCGGGGCTGGACTGGGGTTGTGCAGGGCGGGGTGGGTGTGGGAAGTAGTGAGCCTCCGAGCCATGGGGCGAGATGCAAAGGAGGCTGGCTGAGGCTGGAGCCAGCAACGCTGATGCTACCGCTCCTACTAGGCTGTCTGCGGCCAAGAGCAAAGGGTTGCTGATCAAAGTCCCCGAGAAAGTGCACCGAGGCCGCGTCCCAGAGAGCTAGAGAGAGAAAGTTTGTGTGCGTGCGCGTGTGAGAGTGTGTTTGAGTGTGTGTTGTGTGCACGCATCTCCCCTCCCCCGCCGTGCCGGCCCGGCGGGGGGGGGCGGAAAGCCAGCCGCGCCCCCTCCATCATCCCTCTTCCCACCCTTCCCCCAGATGTGCTGAGAGGCACCAGGAGGGAGGAGGAGGAGGAAGAGGAGGAAGAGGAGGAGGAGGAGGAGGAGGAGGAGGAAAAGCAGGAGGACCCGGCTTCTGGCTTGTGTTTTCTGACTTTCCCCATTCTACCACCCATGGAGGCTGCCGGGTCCTCGGCGAAAGCGGCCAAGGTCGGGGCAGGAAACGGGGGCAGCGAAGGGAGTCCTCCTCCTCCTCCTCCCCCTCCCCCTCCCCCTCCGGCCTCTTCGGGGTCCGCAGGGTCGGGGGATTCGGAGCCCGCTCATTCCTCGAGCCCCGCGGCGGGCCCGGGCTCCCTGGTCCCTTCGCCCGAGCTTGCCGCTTACAAGCTGCAGGACTTCGATACACTCGCTACCGTGGGTGAGTTTCTCTTGGGGAGCTGGTGGGAGGTCGGAGATGGATGGGGAGGAGATGGGCGGGGGGGCTGGAGCTGCGCGGACGGAGTGGCTTTGGGCTCCCCCCCCCATCCCGGGCGTTTAATTCAAACAAAGGCACTCAGTGTTTGTGGAACAGTCAAGCCCGCGACTGCCGCCCCTTGTCGTCGCTCCCTAGGTAGTTTCACTTAATGGTGTGCAGCCAGACAGCGAGCCGAGAGCACCTCACTTACCTGTGTGTGTGTGTTTTCCCCGGTGCGGCTTGGGGCTTTACCATCCTGCTCTTCCCCAGGGCACGGCCGCAAAGAAAAGGGGCAGGGGCAGTTGGTGTTTTATGTAATTGCAAAGGCTCTGGTCACTCCGAAGTTGGGGGACTCCTTCCAACAACTACCACTTTCCTTCGGCCAACCTAGCATTTCTTGCAGGACACACAGTTCTTGCTTTCTGACTTCTATTTTTCTTCGAGCTTAATTTGCTTCTTAGCCCTTCATGAACTGTCAGATTTCAATAAACTTGATTTTTTTGTTTTGTTCTGCCTTAAGACAAAACTGAGATAAGGACTCTTGTTATTTATTAACTGTGCAACCATGTCTAGTAAAGGAGTGTACATATTAAATATTAAGGTATACGGTACAACTTTTTTTTTTAACTCATATACATGTTATAGTGAAGAGGTGAGAGCTAGTAAGTTTTTAAAATGCTAGCCTGAAAGTGCCAGGTGTCACACCCTTTTTTTGAAGGGGGAATTACATACCGACCAACATTTCAAGGACTCTTCCTTCATCTTGTTTATGTTGACTTTCTCATCCTCTTATTTGGTTTTCATATTTTGTTTATGCTCTGGCAGTGTAGTATGGTGTGGGCACCTTGTAGATAAGATTTTGACCTTTTGAAAGCATTTTGAACTATGCACATATGCTAATTCCAAACTGTTCACACAAGTTTATTGCATCACTCATAGTGCCCATTCTTTGCTAAGGGGACTGGGCCAAGATGTTGATAGTAAGAGAAATCATGGGATAAAGTAACTTATTGTTGGTATCAGCCCTTCAATCTAATCTTGCAACATAGAATGATGGCATTTTAAAGTTGGAGGGGGACCTTAGAGATCATCTTGTCCAATGTCTTTATTTTAACAGAGGAGGAATCTGCAATGCACTGAGGGGTTGTGACTTGCCCAAAGTCACACACAAGCTAGTTAATAGCAGAGCCAGGACTAGAATTCATCATACCAGACTGTCATGCCAGCATTACTACATCACCTTTCCAGAGAGTGAAATTATAATTCAGTTTGGAAGATTAGTCTGAAAGGCATTCTAAAAGATCTGAAAAAGATGTTTGATTGTGCTAAGAAACAGAAAAAGTTGCATTTATCCACAAACTAGTGATAGTGGTAGCTCATGTTTTTACCTTTAGTTTGCTTCCCTCAAAGCTGACTGAAAATATGAATGACAGTTTGGGTGGATGAACAAGACAGCTGTGTGGATTTCTATGTGTGGGGTGGGAGGATAGAAGGACCTATGGGCAGAAATGACTTCTAGTCAGCAGTTAATACTGGAGAGGAGTCAGATGTAGGGATTACAGCACATGCCAGTGAGGGTCTTTGAATGGTTATTTGAGGGAACATTGAAGATATGAAAATCATGTAATGTTAGAGCTGCAAGAAATCTTAAGAATCATCATGTTCAGGTTCCTTATTTTACTTATAAGGAAATATACACTGAGATGCGAATTATGAGCCCAACAGTTTACTTAGTGGCAGAGCCAAGATCAGAACCAAAGCCTCTTAATACCTGCTTCATGTACTTTGCCACTATTCCACCACCCTTTTTATTGTTTCTGTTTTAAGGTGCATTGAGGTTGAACCAGATTGATGTGGGTTGCAGAGTTAATGTATTCTGTCCATGATATGTAATCATGTGGTGTAGAACAGGAGTAAGCCCGAAGAAATGTACCCTAAAGAAGGGATTTGTATTTAGAACTCTTTGGAACATTAGGGGCATCTCTTCTGCTTAAGTCTAGGCTAGCACTCCCTCCACCTTTTAGTTTTTTTGCTTATCTATACTATGTACATGTAGTTTCTACCCAGTAGAACATATACTCCTTGGGGTCAAAGATTTTCAATTTTTGTTTTTGTATTCCTAGCACAAACCTGACATATAGTAAGTGCATAATAAATGCTTGTTGAATTATGTTGAATAGCATAAGTACTTTTAGACACTTTTATTTTAAAACCTAGGATAATCTTGATATAAAGGCTAATAATTTAGGAGAATCTTGCACAAAATCATGGAGGTGATTGAAGGTGAAGGTTAGAGAATGACTTCAAAGTGGGCTCTAGAGTGCTTGGAATACCCAGGTGTCATACACATATAATTAGGCCTAGAAGAGTACCTGAAGTGTGCATATATACAAATATGTAAAATAAAACATCACTTGGATTTCTTTTCTTTTTTGGTCCAGGAAAACATTTCCTAAACCAATTTCCTCTTTTAAATGTTTCCTTGTTGCTTGCTTAAAACTTTTCCTGTTTTAAAAATATTTTGGTCACATAAGACACACTTAAGTGAAATGATGAATCATCATCAAATATATCTGATAAAATTGTAAACTCCCTTACATAATGTTTCAGAAAGTTATCTGTATAGTAACTCAGTATTAGGCTGAGACAAAGTGACTCCTAACATAAGTTACAGAAAAACTCTTGGAAGACATAGAAAGCTGGAATCAGAAAAAAACAAAGCAAAACAAAACTCAAAGGTTGTAAGTTATGTAGGCCAACCTATGTTGAGGAAGTTTTTATCCATAATCTCTGGCAGATGATCATCCACCTGCCTCTTGAAGCTCTCCCTTGATGGAGAGCCCATAATCTTTTGTAGTAGCCTAATTTAATTTTGGATAGTGCTGATTTGTTAGATAATGTTTACCTATATTGAGCCACATTCTGTCTCTGGCTCCTTGCACTCATTACTCATAGTTTTTCTTTCTGGGGCTAAGCAAAATAACTCAAATCCAGCTTCCTTGTGACAGCTTTTTAGATATCCTCTCTGAATTTTATTTTTATATGTGAAATATCCTCATTTCCTTCAATATATCCCGTAGGCATGGTGTCTAGTCCTCTCACCAACTTAGTCCCCCTCCTCTGCACATGTTCCACATTGTTAATGATCTTTGAAGTCCATTGTCCAGTTCTCCAACATGAACAATTCATTTTAGTGAAACTAGTCTCCTTAGGCAATTTATGGTCATAGAGAGTTACTTAGGACCTTGAATAGGTTAAATGGTTTGCCAGAGTAATGATGTGTCAGTTTGCACTTGAATCCTGGTCTTCCTAGTTCCAAGATCAGGTCTCTATCCACTGTGCCAACACTGCATCTCTGTAAATCTTGAAGCACTAAATAAATGAGTTATTATCCTGGCCTTTATTGAGCTCTCTTTTTTTTATGGATTCCTATTGTATTTTTTTCCTGGTACACTGTGATTTAGTATTCATTTTATGTTGTTCATAGGATCAGTCAGTATGTATAGTGGACAGAGAAATTCTGAGGTGAGGATGGAGATTTAAAGCTTGACTCCAACTCTAGTGTTCTTTCCCATTATATATATCACACCTGACCTCCTAAGTGTAGGTTTAATGGAGTATACAGACAGAACTAATGATGATTCTAGAAGAATCTGTGGAATTTTTATAGACAAACAGATTGGCATTGCTTGGAAGGGAAATAGCATGAACAAGGGAACAGAGGCAGGATTAAGTATGTTATATGTCTGGGTTGAATTCTGCCTTTAAACACTTACTTGGCTGTGTAACTCTAGGCAAAACACTTAATTTCCCATTGCCCTTGGTAAATGTTTGAAGACCATAAATTTTAGAGAAGGTGGGTGTCTGCTTTGATAGATGGAGTTTCCTTGTCTGGGAGACCCCTTTACTAATGAAATCACAGGTCTATTGCCTATCCCTGTGAGGGCATCTTAGCTCTGGGGTCTCTACCCTAGAAACCATCTATTTACAATCTCCTTATTTTACAGATAAGGGAATTGAGGTCTAGGGAAGTTGAGTGCCTTGACCAAGATCATGCAAGGATTGAGGATTTGAGCTGGGATTTGAACCTCTGAATCTAGATTCTCTATTCTTTCCATTTGTACCATATTGCTATTCTCTAATTATGTTGTTTTTTACATAGATTGGAAAATTATTGAGGCCAGTTAGACACTGAGTCATTTATATTTTGCATAGCTACTGAACGTAATAGTCTATAATAAATACTTGTTAATCTGATTTTCAAGAGTCATTATTGTCACAAAGAAGACTTGTATAAGGGAAATGGCATAAAAAATGTCATCAGATGTATGTCTGGAAAATATGTGGGATGATTGTAATGCAAGGGATAGCTGGTCACCGTGTGTGTGTAATATTCATGTGATGTCAAGAGATCTAAGAGGAAGATCCTTAACATTAGTTCTCTCTTGTGTCCTCCAAAACTCCCCTCTCCTCCCTGTTCCCTAACCTTCCCACCCCCAACTTAGAGGACATAGATGAGAGAACCGCAGAATGAGAAAGTTCAATTGAGTTGCTCCATGACTGTTTGAAGAAATACCCACATTGATGAGATCACAGATTCATCCAAGTATTGAAACCACAGTTTACCTTGGCATAGCTGGTCACACAGATTTGCCAGTTGTAAATTTTTTTTTTGTTTTCTTTCTATTTCATTAGTTAGCCAGGCTAGAAGGTAGAATTACTAAAGGAACTAAATATAGCATTAAGGTTAGAAAAGGTTGTAACTCTTCTCTGACATCTCATTCTCCATTCCCATATCTTCTCACTTAGATAGAACTTAAAATGGAATTTTCTCTCATGTTGTTTCTTTCAGTATTTGTGAACTGAAGCTAAAAATATTACATGTGCATATATATACAATTATCAATCACAAATATATGTATGTAATACATATACATACACATATATACATATACCATAGACAT